TGKGCAGCTTCAGAAGTGGTGGGGACATCCTGTCTGCTCCAGCACCCCTTTTCCTCCTGCCTGTTGCACCCTCATTCCCGTATTTCCTCAGGCCAGAGCAGCATGGTGCTTGAAGGGAGCTGAATGGTACCTCAGCCCCCTCATCTGCGCCCGAGCCAGGATCTTGGCTGTGTCATGTCTGCCTCACCTGCACTGCACCACATCCCGCTCCCTCCAGCCATCCAGGCACCAGGCAGGATTGAATCCACCTCTGCTCCTGTGTGCCTGTGATAAATGACTGCTGGACAAACATCCACAGCTKCTGGGGCAGACACTGCTCCTGCTAATTTTGCAAACTGGTTTCCCTGCTCCAGCAGCACAAACTTCTCCTTGCTAGTGCTAAACTCACAGAAGTTGTTTGTTTTCCATTTCAGAACATAAATATTCTGCATCTGATCAAACTGACTGACGAAGTATGTTCAAGRCAAATCTTTCCTCTTGTGTGCCTTTTGGGCAGGGAAATGAAGACCAGGTAAAATAATTTCCCTATTTCTCGATACAAAAGTGCTATCATTTGACTTTAAGTTTCACTTTATATGTTGATATTGGTGAGTTTTGTAATTTTACACAAATTGCTTTTGTGCTTTCTTTACCTGAGAGTCAGTTTCATAGCCAGGTAAAGGCATCTGAGATAGGTCAATCAAACCTGAGGTAGGTAAAATAAAAAACAAATTTATGATCTAATTTCTATTAATCATGAAATACATTTTTAATACATTTATATTTTGCAAAACAGGTTTGTGATACTCTTGTTAAACATGCTGCCTTAGTACAAGGTGCAGCGGAGGAAATGATTTCTATGCAGGGATTTGAGATCAACTTAATAAAACCACCTAGGGAATTAAAAATGCCAGTATATGGCAATTCAGGTCCTATATGTGCATTCTTGAAGAAAAAAAAATATCAATAGAGTTTATAGAGTTTGGCGCTGAGGAAAACTTCAGGAAAAGATCTTCCTCCTCATGGCCTACCTCAATTTCATGCAGACTCATCAGTGTACATATATACACACACGTATATTTATATGTAGACATATATGTACACCCATAGCAGCAGGCAATGGCAACTTTCACCCAACTAGGAACGTTGTGTAGGTTGTTTTAAAGCTGAATGGAAGATAACAGGGACAAT